TGAGGAAGAGTGAGCGCCGCATCAAGGAGCTCACCTACCAGGTGGGGCTGGTGGCTGCTCTGGGGTGGGGCCTTAGGGAGTGGCAGTGTTGCCCAAGCCCCACCTCCTGACCCCCACAGATCCCATGCCAGATCACCATCCAGGAAATGCCACCCAGCCCTCCTGGCTCCTGCTTCCTCAAGAAGCTGTCTTTAGATTAACTTCCTTTCATGTACTTCAGAGTCAGTTTGGCTTAAGTTTATGAATATTTCTTGCGAATGGAAGAGAATCTACTTCTACTTTTTGAAAGCCTTTTTAACCAAAATTCCCTCAGGTTTTTTAATAACCTGAAGGTCTACCATGAAGGCTTCAGAATAGTCCAAGGAGCTCTCCACCTTCCAGAGGCCTGACCGGGAGGGACATTGTGTGGCACTTTAGGGATAAAAGTCAGGGATGGGAAAAGACAGATCTTGCATGGAACTTCTGGGACAATAGAGAGAAGGCGTTAGAGAAAGAGGGTTTCAAAATATTCTAACACCTTTTTCTGCAAAAGCTCATAGCTTTTTGCCCTTGATCAATGTACCTGGTAATGAAAGACAGAGAAAAGGGCATTGGTCCATTTAACACTAGACACACAACACAGGAAGGAGATACAGATGTAGAACTGCAGATGTACCGTGGGCATAATATCAGCCTAGGAAATGTCAGCCTGGCACATACAATGATGAAAACACAGGAAGCATCAGGTGACGTTGGAGTCAGTGATCCTGGTGCCAAAGTCTGGCCCAGCACAGCATATCAGAATGTTGAGCTATGATAGACTGGAATGACCTGAAGTGTAACGCCCTCTTCTTTCTGTATTCCCCTGCTTCCTTTCCGGTCATGCTGGTGCGACTGATCAGTTGGAGCTGGAACAGCCCAATGTCTCCATATCATTAGATGATGGAATTCCATTTGGTTCTGAGCCCCTCCCTCAACTTCCAGCTTTAAGGCAGCAGTTCTTGTTGCTTTTTAAAAAAAAATTATTTATGAATTTTTAGAGAGAGAGAAGAAGAAGGGGACAGAGAGAAAGAGAAACATTGATTTGTTATTCCACTTATTTATGCATTCATTGGTTGACTCATATGTGCCCTGATGGGAACTGAATCCACAACCTTGGTGTGTTAGGATGATGCTCTAACCAACTAAGCTACTCGGCCAGAGCTAGCTCTCATTGCTTTTTAGATCTCAGACTGAGGACTTCACCTGGGCCCCTTGACCTACAAGTAGTGTCAGAGAGAGCTCTTTCCACCACCTTTTTACTCGGGCCCTTTCAAGGAAGGAGCAGCTAAGGCAAGGGGAGAAGAGTAGAGTGGTGAGGGAGGGAAACATGATTGCACTTGCTCCTCCCCCCAAACTGACTTCTCCTGCCCATCCACCCCCAGACGGAAGAGGACAAGAAGAACCTGCTCCGGCTACAGGACCTGGTAGACAAGCTGCAGCTGAAGGTCAAGGCCTACAAGCGCCAGGCCGAGGAGGCGGTGAGTTCATTACTTTGTCCACTCAAATGAACACAGTTCCTGTGTGTTCAAACCAATGAGTGTCCACCCAGCGTGGGGCCTGGACAATGGGTTTGCTATAAACTTTAACTCACAAACATTAGTTATACATGTCCAGTGTGCTCAGAGGTGTGTCAGGCACTCTGAGTTAACAGAAGCAGTGCTTATTTGACCCAGAACTTGCCCAAAAGCTGCTTACAATTCATATGCCAGTAAGTCCAAGAGAAGGCAGCGTAGCTGCCAATGGGGGTCAGGGGGCCAGACAATGCTACAGGCTGGAAGGTGGCAGTGAAATTGAGCCTGAAGAGGAAACTGCCCAGGCGTAGTGCAGTGAAGAAGACATCTGGGTGGGCAGAAAAGTGTGGGTGTGAGGTGTTGGTGTACAGGAAACCCCAGGGCTGGGTGCATGTATCAGATTCACAGTGGCACAGGTGCAGTGAAGCTGGTTTTGAGTGGGGCTGGACCAGGCTGCATGGGATTCATCTTGGGCAGTGGATGGCCATGAAGGATTCTGAGTGCTGGACAAGTATGAGGAGGGTACCAAGCCAGGAGTAGGCAGGGCTGTTGCAGGAACATGGGCAAAAGGTGAAAGCACTGAGCCCCATCCCCCCACCCCTTCCCACCTCACCCTCCCACCCCCTGAACCTCCACAGGAGGAGCAGGCCAACACCAACCTGTCCAAGTTCCGCAAGGTGCAGCACGAGCTGGATGAGGCGGAGGAGCGGGCGGACATTGCGGAGTCCCAGGTCAACAAGCTGCGGGCCAGGAGCCGGGACATCGGTGCCAAGGTGGGTCCCTTCCCCAGGCCTGGCTAGTTTCCCCCACAGCAGCTTCCCTCCAACACCAGGGCCGCTCCGAGTCGGCACTTCTTACCCTATATTTGGACAAACCCAAGAGTCCCAGAGCACCCATTTGTGAGAATCCCCCTCATGCTCAGAGCACCCTTACTGACTGGTCCTCTACAGAACCCCTGTACCTCAGGGTTGCATTTAAGGGACCCTAAGCCACAAGGACCCCTTAAACGGAACTCCAAGATTCCTGAGGTCTGAACCTCTCCCTCTAAGGCATCTCCCTTAGGCCCCTTTAAGCCCTAGAGATTTCTCCCCACATTCATCCTACCTCTTGCCAGCTGCCCCCTCACACTTTTTATTCCTTTCTCAGCAAAAATTGCACGATGAAGAGTGATGCTGCCTTCCGGACCTCGCTTTTGCTCACCTATAATAAATCTGAACACCAGACTCTGCCTGAGCCCCCGTCATTTCTGTCCTGAGCTCGGAGGGCAGCCCTGCCCTGTGAGTGACCTGTGGTAGCCAAGGTTTCCCAATCTATAGAGGAGGAAGAGGGGCCCCAAGAAGTGAGGTGTATTTTCTGAGGCAGCAGAAGTATGAGTCTCAGTTCTGCGAAATCAGTCGGATCAGGAGTGAGAGGGAGAAATTTCAAAAGTGGAGAAAACAGAAGCACCAAAGGGTGAACCAATTCTAGACACTGGGAGACAGAATCTTGGTGCCAAAACTGAAGCCCCCCTCCACCTACCCCACCTCTGAGGCCACAGGGGTTAAAAGTGTCCCGGGACACCCATTTCCGCCAACATGGATTTCCCACTGACCCCAGGAGAGGTGCAGAGCTGGCTGGGGGTACAGACGCAGATGAAAAGATGGGGCAGATCCCACTGTGCTCAGCAGCCCCTTAGAAGTAACCCACAAGGAGTCCTCCCCGTCAGCCCCAGGAACAGTCAGCTGGGGCCAAGGACTACCCCGGGCTCTGGCTTAGCTCCTCAGGAGGAGGGCAGCCTGAGGCTCTGGGGCCAGCAGACACTGAGTCCAAACCAGCATGCAGTCTAGACCAAACCTGGGCACTGCTTCTCTAATTTTGACCTCTACCACAGACACAGGTGAGCACAGGTGCACGTGCAGGTACACACCACAGATGGCACTTACACTGTCTCTGAGACCTCACTGGGGACTGTCTGGTCTGAGTCACACTGCTGTTCAGGGAACAGAGCTGGTCCTCGCCCCATTCTGCTCCACACAAATCCCTGCCCCTGCCTGGGCTTTACAGCCAGGCTCTCCTGACCACCTTCTCATCCCCTCATCTGGCACCCCATCTCCTGGATCCCCCTGGCTAAGCCCCTGCTAGCCCTCCTCTGAGGCTGAGGCCTTGACCCTGCCCCTCAAAGCTCAACCGCCAGTCTTCAGAATGGTCTGTGTGTAAAGCCCTGACCACCATGAGTGGAGACCAGAAGAACACATTGATCAACAGAAATGTTAGTTCCAGCCCTGGTGAGGAACCAGGACACGAGGCTAGGAGAACGGGAAGCAGGAGACCAGAGAAATCAGACCAAGAGACCTGTGGTTATCACCAAGGGGAGAAGAGTACCTCTGCTAGAATCCCAGGGCTCAAGCAGCACTTAGGGGCTGGGGTCTTCATTTGGAAGGAGCACCCCAGAAGAAGGAAGGCATTTCAGGACAGGAGCAAACAAGCATTAGAGAGAGGAGACAGCAAGCCAGCTTGGATGAGCTGCTGAGCTAGGTCACACTGGGTTCTGTGGGGCTGGGCTGGGCAGGGACAGCCTGGCTGCACTGAACTGTCATGGGCCCCACAGGGCTGATTCCGGGCTGTGGCAGTGCCTGCTCCAGACTGCCCCTGAGCAGATCTCCGCCAGGGCATTCATCACGGAGGATCATAATCATCTTTCACTAGCCTGCCTCTTCCCAGCCTGTCACCGCTGAGTCCCTGGGGCCCAGCACAGGGTCTGCACACAGGAGATGCTCAGGAAATGTTTGCTGGGTGCTGGCAAGCTGGGAAGATGGACATGCTGGTGGAGGGAACTGGAGACGAGATTGGGTCATGTTTTCTGAGCCAATGCAAGTGGGTTCTGTACAGTATCCAGAATACCAGTTGAGTGTTAGGAGCACTGGGTTCTAGTTCCAGCCCCGTCACAAATGTCACGCTCCTTAATGGGCCTGTTTTCTCTTACGTGGAATGAGGGCTGATATTTAAGGGCTCTTCTAGTGCCTGCTTTGTGGGAACCTCTGCCCTCTTCTGACGCCACAGACTGACTTCTTTCCTGTGGCCTGCAGGCCAAGTCTTCCCCACACCACAAGAGGGAGCTCTACACACAGCCCAGGCTAGCACAGAGCCTCAAACCCACTAAAACAAATCTGTGTGTACAGAAATGGCAGGTGGGCACTCACACTGGGAAAGCCATTCCTCTCAGACACAGAACTCCAGGTGCCCAGACACCAGGCACACCACAAAGTAGCTTTGCACACAAAGGGCTGAGGCATGAAAGTTTTGTGTTGAGATTGTCTTCAGCCTCTTCATTCTAGCCCCCCACTTCCTCATGACTGAGACCTGGTCCCAGAGAAGGACTATGACCTGCTCCAGGTAACATTTTCATGAACACTCCTTGGATTCCTGATATGCTTAATTCCTAGGGAAGGAAAAGACTGACCAGTAGGATTCGAATCTTTTAATTTGGGAATGACCGGCTTTCTCCTGCCCACTCCTCCCTCCATAATACCCCTCTTCAGTCCAGCTTCATCAGGAGCCATATCTGAGAGCATCAGGCCCACAAACAAGTCCCTGTGGCTTCTCAGGCCAGTCTTCATCTCTGTAGATCTGGGGTGGGGGACAGCAGGCTAGAGGGTTGGTGAATCCAAGAGAGATGTGCCTGGGCTCCACTGTACCCTTGGTCTGGCTGTAGCCTTGGGGTCACTGCTGGTCCCCTGTGAAAATGGAGCCAGGGAGGGAAGGGCACATCAGGCTGGGACAGCTGGGGCAGGGGGTAGAGGGGCACCTCCTCTTCCAGAGCACAGGCACTCACCCTGGTTGGCCCTGGGCACAATGTCAGTTCGGTAAACCTTGAAGGCATCATAGGCAAAGACGGAAACCAGGATGATGCCAAAAACCTGCGGAGCAGGAGTGGGGATGGCATCACAAAGGCCGTCTGGTATTAGGGAGAGGGGCCTGGGTGGGGGAGGCACAGGAAGTGGGTAGCACCAGTTAGAGGTCCTTAGGGAACTGAAGAGATTTGGGGCCGCTGGACTCACAAAAGCAGCAATGGCAGCTCCATCTCGGGAGGTCACCGCTGCAAAGGAGACTACTAGGAAGATGATGATGGCGCTGACACAGCGGAGGAAGTCCTGGAGGGGCCAAGATTCCAGGTCAAAGGGAAGTCAGAGTACAGGGTTATCCCCCTGAACTTTCCAGGCTAGTCAGCACTTGGCCCTCAGGCACTGAATTCCTGCATAAAGATATCCCTGGACTCTACATAAAGCACTAAACAGAGAAAAAGAGGGAGGGAGTTCACATATTATCCAGGGAAGGGATGCAAGTGAATGCAGAGTGACCAAGACAGAAAGCCAGAGGTCCGGGTATGGCTGACCCAAGCTCAGCAGCTGGAGCCAAGGGGCACATCTGGGGGATGCCAGCCAGGAGGCTCGGGAGACCAGGGCTGGGGCTGGGCCTTTAACAGGTGGGAGAGCATATCTAAAGGATGTGTGTCCTCACTGTCAGTGACCCAGCAGCTGTGAATCTGTGTAGGTCAAAGCAGTTTTTGAGTACAGGGCACAGCTTGGGGCAAAGCCCAGCTGGGGTTGAGGGGCCCAAGTAAAGGAGAGAGGCTGGGAGAGGAAAGGGAAACTCCCCAGTTCAGAGGAGAAGAAAGAGAGCATAATGGGGTGGGGTAGGTGGGGTCCCTCACCAGGCAGGGCCAGTTCAGCCGATCAAAACGCTGGTAGTACTGCGTGGCATAGAGGAAGAGGAAGGCTAGGGTGATAAAGAACTCGAGCAGCGCCGCAGCCATGTAGGCGGAGATGGAGGCGGTGAAACAGATGAAGATGATGAAGGTCAGGGCCTGCGGGACCAAGTGTGTGGACTTGCCAGGAAGGAGACACAGGCACAGCCTGGCCTTGGCCTTCCTCTCCTCAGGAGCCCCCCCAGGCTGGCCCCCACCACCTGTCCTTGGAGGTCTCTCCATCCCTCGTGGCAGGAACCATATTCCATGGCTTTCGTCCAGGGACAGGCTCCTGCCTCCCACCTCTGCCAGCCCAGGAGGATTCAAATCTTTTAGTTCAGGGATAGCCAGCTGCCTCCTGCCCCAGCATCCCAGCAGGCCTGGCCATGTGGTGTCCTCCTGGGGCACAGAACACAGTGTGAATGCCACCCCCCGGAGTCATGCCTGCACCAGCCCTGTGCCCCAGGCATCAGCCTGCGCCCCATGATCCTTTCTCTCGGATGCCTCAAACTTCTCTAATGAGGCCTGAAGCCTGTGGCTCCATGGCAAGGGACGAGGTTTAGAAGACAAATGCTCCATGGTAGATTCTGGGGGTCCCTTCAGCTCTGGCCCTGCAGGATGGCACATGTGCAGAAGAATTGCCTTTACACCAAGGCCTTGCTAAGTGACTAGGGGAAGATCCTTTCCTGGGAGCAGATGTTCACAGGGAGCAGAAACAGAAACAACAGGGCTGCAGGAATTCTGCCGTTTTAGATAGCTGGACTTCTTGGACATGCCAAGAAGAGGCCATCTTAGAGCCCGGGAAAGAGGCTGCTGGTACCCTCATCCCGTCCCTGTGTCTTGCACCCCCTCAATGTCCCACAAAGCTGTCCTGTCTAACTTTAATCCTAGCTGCCCCAACGGAGAGACCTACTGTAACTACCTCCAGATGCAGAGGCAACAGAAATGCAGGGAGGTGATGAAGGAGGGGCAGCTGGGGATAGGAGTGGTGCCCAGAAAGCCTGGGAAGGGAGGGGGCAGGGCAGGGGGGCCAGGGCTAGGAGATGTGGAGGCGCCAGGTTGGGGTGGCTGTTGTTACCAGCTCAGTTTCCAGCAGGATGCCTTTCAGGGAAGAGAGGAAGGTCTTGTCCACAGCAAAGCCCTGGAGCCCTGCAGCTGACCCCTCTTCAGGAGGCCGGTCCCGGCGATCCAGAGCACTGAGCATCTCCACAAGGCCCACCGGGCACAGCCCCTCACTGCCAGCAGCCCAGGAAGGGAAACAGGAAGACAGAAACCTGGCAGGACAGGGAAGCAGACAGAAGAAGGAAAGCACTTTGAGAAACCTGAAAGTGAAGCGTGCAGCCCTGCTGTGGGGGTCCTAGGAGAAGGCAGCCGCTGGGGGAGTCCTGCCCAGATGGGCCTTCCACTCAGCTGCCCCGCTGGTGTCTGCACCAACCCCCAGGAGGCACATGGGGAGGGCAGGGACTGGGGAGGAGTGGCCAAACCTTCCCTTACTTGGACAAGGGAGGACGGGGAGGAGGTCTGTAGAGACCCGGAGGAATTGGGACTGGAGCCAAGAAACGGGGCTGGTCTAGGAACCCGAAGGACCTAAGCCTGAAGAAGTTTACATCCCCTCCCCTAACCTTAACCCTCTTCCTTGGCCCATCTTTTCTCCCTTTTCCTTTTAGGGAGGGTGGGAGCTGGAGCACGCCCAGCAGCACCCCCAGGGCCCAGCTGTAGCAGCCAAGACGGAGGACAAAGGCAGATTGTTGGGGGGACAAGGGGGTGCTCTGTTCCTTTTGCAGTGCCTCAATGGGCCTCTGTCTCTCCAGTATACCAGGAGGGTGGCCTGACCCCCACCCTGGTGTTCAGGGATGGACCGAGGAGCCAGAGAAGGAGAAGGATGGGAGGCCACAGAGGAAACTCTGGAGACAGTGATAGGTGAGGGCTGACCGTGGGGCAGAACAGGGACTAGGCTGGGGACCACAAGATGTTCAGGCACCAGAATGCTAAAGACAAATTAAGCCACTTTTAAATATAGATTATTTATTTGGGTAAGTCTCTCCATTATCAATAACAGCCTCTTCCTCAGAGTCACCTGTGTTAGAAGACCAGTAATGTGCTCATTGAGTGTTTGATGAGTGAATGAATGAATGAGTGAATGAATGAACAAATGAACAAATAAATGAAATGAGGGGTTCTCTGTTGGCAAGAGGGGAAATATCAAGAAAGTGCCTGTGCTCATGATGACAGCTGGGGTGGAGGGAAAGGAAGAGACGAGGTGGTGGCCTCCAGGAATGGGCAGAGCTTTGAAAGCCTTTTTGAGAGGAAATGCCAGGATACCGGACACCAGCTTCCAGAGGCCACCGCAGCTGTGGCTCCCTTCGCTTCCCCTGCATTTCCCATCCACTCCAAAAAGTGCAAAGTGTGTTCTCTTCTAAAGTCCCCATTCTGCCCTATGATCCTGCTGCTCCAGGTGATACTTCGGAAGGGTGAGCACTTCGGCGTCCGGGCTCACCGTAGTAGACAGTTGCACACCCAACTCCAGCGTTCCACCGGGGACCAGCCATAGGCAGCATGACTAAGCCATCACACGAGGCCGCACGCACACACAAGCCAAGGAGACACGGTAGAGCCTGCGTTCCAGGCAGTAGCCATCACTTGTGCCCCGCTCTCCGGGGCATGGCCGGCGATAGAAGACGGTCTGGTTGTGGTAGAGCAGCACCGAGTTGCCCAGGGGGTCCATGTGGGAGCCTGTCTGTAGGCTGACGCAGTGCGGACACAGGCAACGAGCGTGGTACAGGTCCTGGGGGAGCCGGTTCAAGTCCCTGTCCAACCTGTGGGGATGGCACCAGTCGGTCAGGCCCTGGAGGGAAGCTGGCTGGGCGGGAGGGCCTAGGCCAGAAACAGGGAGCGCCCAGCGAGGGTGGAAATGCCAGAGGAAGGAAATGGTGTGGTCTGGAGGCCTGGCTTCTTGCCCTAGCTCTGGCACCCACTTGCTGCATGACTTTGGACAAATCACCCCCTTCTCTCTGGGGTTTATCTTCCCCCACTGTGAGGGTCAGCAGGGGAGCATCGCTGTCCAGCTGGCCCCGGAACCCTAAGGGAGGCAGAGCAAAGCCAGCAGGCTCCTGCCCGAGCCTCCACAGACCAGCTCCGCTGTCCGATACGCACACTGGGCCCTGGCGTGAGGGGACTCCAGAAGCCTAGCAAGAAATAGCTACTAGGTTGTAAGACCACTGTCCATGAAGACAAGCGCTCAGAAGCTAGGGCTCAGCTAGCACAGAATTTTCCAAAGTGGGTTCCCTTATAAGTACCTTGCCAGAAAAGGGTTCTGTGATTGAATGAGTTTAATGGTTTCTTTCCTGCTGACTTCTGGCAGGCTTTAACGTGCTGAGCACATTGTGAGTCTATGAGGGGTCGGGGCTGGAGCCGCTTTACCCATACCTGGACATCATCGATTTCTCTCTGAGGAGCAGCTTGGGGGATGAGTGTTACAAAGAACCTTTGGGGAAGACCGCCTGAGTGGTTATCAGGGGCTCTCAGCCTCCCAATAAGGGATCTGGACCCCAGCTCAGTTAGCCATCTGCCCCCCAACCTTCCCAAAGGGGCTTCCACCCTTCACATTTAGCCCAGGACCCCACCAGCCTTCTGAAACCACTTCAAAGGGTGGTGATTAGCAGTCTCCACCCTGGATCTAGTCTCAATCAGAGCTGACCCCCTCCCTACCCACTGAACTCTCCCTTCATCCCCAAAGCCAAGGGTAAGCCAGACTAGACTTGTGAGGAGTGAAAACACAGACACCCTGTGAGGACAAGACAGAAGGAGAAATGTGTTTAGGATCCCTAAGGCCTAATTTCTAGTAGTTTGCTTCATTGTCTCTATTTCAGTGCTTCCTGATATTTTTCACATCATGGCATGAATAGAGAATGCTAACATTTGTGTGGCGCACTGAGTGAAAGACTAAGACTGCCCACGTTCTGAGGTAAGCAACCTGGTGCTCCAGCCACCCAGCTGCCCCCAAGCAGCTGGTATTCCTTATCTTGGTATATTTATAACCCACTCACATCCCAAGGCAAACAAAGCATTTGGCATTGGGATGCTTCTTGCCTGTATCATACCATGATTCCCTGATATTCTAGTTATAAAAGCATGGCCACTGTAGGGATGAAGGAGGAGAAAAGGAGAGAAACGACATTCTATGTACTATATATAGATTTTACATATATTATTTCATATGATCTTCACATGAGCCTGTGTGGTATTATCTCACTTTACAGATGAAAAATAACCCGAGCTTTGAAACCTTGAGTAATGGGCACAGGGTTGCCCAATAAGAGTCAGAGCTAGGACCCAGACTAACACCCAAACCTTTATGGACTCTCTGAGATAAAAAGGAGCCGATAGGCTGGAACTGGGTAGATCTCCCTTGGCGCCTCACATATACCCTGCCCGGCACATATGCAAGAACTCAGAAGGGGACAGCAGACTCACTCATATCTCCAGGGGGAGATGGACCTGCTGTTGAGGGGTCCATCTTCGCTGGCCCTGCAGGATACTGGGTGGTGGGCAAGGCTGTCAGCCCCTGGGGGAGGCATGAGCACTGAGTCCAACTTCAGCAGCTCTTCAGTGGGGTCCTGTCCTTGGCTGGGGAAGCAGTTGGGCCAGAGGATGCAGTCTTTCTGAAGCCGCAGATTGAGAGTGTGGGCTCCCATGACTACTGCTAAGAAGGCAACCACCTGTAGGGAAAGGCCAGTGAGACAACTGCTCCCATCTAGTCTGGGTGCCCCTCTCCCAGCTGTTCCCTGAGATCCTGGTTTCTAGCTCCACCTGACCTCCAGCCCCAAACCTCAGAGCCCAACCTCCCTGCAGCTTTCCCACTTGGCACCGTCCCCACCCGGCCTCTGCACACCCACCTGGTACATGCCGAATGCCCGATACTGCTCTCCCAGCTCAGTGCTGTGCAGGCTGACAGGCAGGGCCCTGTGGAAGCAGGCTGGTTAGAGCAGTTGAGGAGTCCTGGTTTTATTTTCAGCAAACCTGTTTTGTTTATTCAAATTTATTTCCACTACCTTTTGGAGGGAGTAACCTGAGATTAAAACAAAACAAAACAAAACAAAACAAAACAAAACCAAAGAAAACCTGACAGGTTTTTCCAAAGCTGTTTAAAATGCTGTACTCATGGAAGTTGTGATGAACATCATCGTAAGCCTGGAAACGAATCGGGTAAATTTGGTTGTTTGCGTGGACTCAAAGCAATAGTATTCTGCTCTTCTGAGACTTTGAAAACTGGCATTATGGGAATTTCTCTGATTAGCTTGGTAGCCAAAATTAGGGAACATTACCTGGCCTCTCTTCAAGGGGCCTCATTTTCATGGTCTCTGCTGCTCCCACTTAGCCTCTTGTCTGCACCATTCCCTTTCTTCCCAGAAGTCCTCCTGATCAGCCACCTTAATGAGCATTTCCACTCTACCCCTTGTGAACCATCAACCCTTCTGTTCTCTGACCCCTTCCTCATCTTCAATGACCCCAACTTCTATGACCCCCATCATCTATGACTCTCCCCACTGTCTGTCACCTGCTCCCTAACCCACCCTCACCCTCTCCGGTGGCCACCCAAATCCCCATCCCTGCCCTTTCCATGACCCCACAGGACTGCCAGAAAGACCCCACCCCATCAGCTTGGTGGCTGGATGTGCAAGATCTGACGGCAGAAGCTGTGGGTGACTGTCCCGTTGTGCAAGTGAGAAGGTAGAGCCAAGAAGAGGAGGGGCCTGGTAACTGACTCGTCTAACACCCCACAGGAGGTCCCCATTCCAGGGACCAGCCTGTCCTCACCCCCACTCACGGGGACCTGGGGACAAGGTCTTGGTGGGGGTGGCTGCTGCTCTCAGGCCATGAGATAAGCCCACCTGGCTGGGGTTTGGGGCCATGGGCTGAGGGAGCACAGTTGTGTTCACAATGGCTCAAGCTGGGCCTGACCCCAGGGACCACCCAGCCAGAGAGGTTCGGTGCTGAGGGCAGGCCAGCCAGAGCCTTCTTCCCTCCGCGCCTTTTCCCTCATGCCCGCCACTGACCCCCCAAACCCCACACCCGCTACCCGCCCCCACTCGTACACACTCTGTATATTGACATTGCCTCTGGAATGATGTTTCCTGATTTGCATGTGCTTTCCCTTAGAAAATACTCCTCTTGTAACCAAGGACACAGGACATAATAAAGAGAACCAGGAATAACTAACTGTAGAGTGAAGGGGAATCCTTCAAATGCTTTAGGGCAACGATTTTCAACCTTCTTCTTCTTGTGGCACACATAAACTAATTACTAAAATTCTGCAGCACACCAAAAACTATTATATTTTTTGCCACTCTGACAAAAAAATAGGTATAATTTTGATTTATTCACACTGGACGGCTATTTTTGTGTTGGCTGTTGTCATTTTGAATTTGACAGTCTAAGTAAAGAGAGGTCAGTGCCCCTGACTAAATAGTCAGGCACTGCATGTTTCAAAAATTCTTGTGGGGCACCAGTGTATCTCCGTGCACCCATTGAAAATTGCTGCTTTAAGGCAAAACAGGGCCAAAGTATAGTAGTGATGAGGTCAAGGGGCATGCTGGAGGACTGGGAGAAGCTGTCTGGTGAGGGAGGGCCCTGGACCTGGCTGGGAGTGGGGCAGGGCTCTGGGCAAACAAGTGGCTGCTGGGAAGGCAGGGGCACTTAGGAGAGCACTGAGTCAGGAGTCCGTCACCCTGCCCCACTGCCTGCCTCTTCACCCGTGAGCTCCCAGACACGCTCACTCCCACACTCTGTTGGTCCCTCAGGTCTGGGTGTCATGTGCCAGGATGGTGTCAAGGCCTGTACGTGCATCAGCTCATTTTACTTTCCAGTAACACCACGAGGTGGAAACTCTTATTCCTATTATCTCATGTTAAGATGAGGAAACTGAGACCCACAGAAATTTAGTAGCCTCCTCAAGGTCACTCAGGAAGGGGTGGAGCTGGTTTTCCACTCTAGCCCTGACCCACTCCAAACCCAAGCTCCTGGCGTGGAGGTGCCACACTGTGCAGCCCTGGTTGGCTGCAAAGGGAAGGGAAGTCCCCACATAAATGCTCTTCTATTTACCTGGACTTTGGCTGGGACAGGTCTCACCTAAACCTGTCTGAGGCCACAGACCATTCTTGCCACTCAGGTATTCAACCCTGCTGGCTGGGGTCCGCTGCTCCTCACTGCCATTCCCAGCCTTGGGTCTGGCACGAGCAACTGCTGACACCAGAAAAGGCTCTGCAAGAGCAGTGCTCTTCCAGAAGACCTGAATCCCTGTGGGTCTCCCCCAAACCAATCAGACCCCCAGAACCTGACATCAGACCAAACCCACACCCCAACCCATTGCCCCAGTCCAGGGAGGGGTGCTCAAAAGAGCTGGAAGTGATCCTAGATACTTATTACTTGCTGGTGTTGCAAAAGCCTCACATGTTTGCCGATGACATTGACCTTCGGGAGAGGCCATTGGGATGTCCCCCTGCCTCTGTAGCAGGACCTTCTCTGAGGAAACCCCTGAAAGGCAGAGGCAGGGCTCCTACACACACACAGTCTCCCCCAGGGATGGTCAGGCCTGACAGAGAAGCACGCTCTGAGCCACGCACCCCTGTCCCACCCACCTGCTCAGCCTCTGCTCTTATCTCAGTAGTGTCTCTGTAGGATTCTTTAGGGTAACTCCCTGCAGTGAGAAACATTTTCCAGAAGATTTTCCTCCCGGGATGACTAGTTTTGGAATCCCTGAGTCACTTCAGCTTCCAGGGAATCCTTGGGGGTGTGGGAGATGGGTGTAGCAATGGGGAGAATACCAGAGGTGGGAGCAAAGAAAAGTTCACTCAGAACCTATCAAGGATGCCTCCCAGGGTGTTCTCACCTGCCTAAGCCTGACCTGGTGGGAGACCCACCCTTTTGCCCCTGGGAAGAGAGATAAGCGCCCAGCAGGAAAGGGCAGAGAAGACGAGGTCCTTGGTCAGGAAAAGCACCTGGGGTGTGCAGAAAGCTAGAGCACCACTGTCCTGCCCTTTCTCAGAAAGTCACTCACATCTTCACCTGCTCCCTTGTAGTCCTGACTCTCCCTCTGATCTGCTCTTGAGCTTGGGCCCTCTCTGCTCCTTCCTCCTTATTTGTACAAGTTTGTGTGTGTTGGGGGTGGCAGGGGTTTAACCTGGACAGCCACAAAAGTGCCAACCAGCTTAGCTGCCCTGGACCTCAGCTCCTGAAATAGTGCTGAAGCCACAGGACTCAGCAAAGTTTACTGAAGTTCATCTCCGCTCACCTGCCGTGAGGCAGGGACACTGTTGGGTAAAATGCTGAAATACCTCTGCCCCTGCTGGTAAACTGATGATATCCTCAGCCCAGGGCCACCCCTACCTATCACAGCCTCCTCATGGTCCTGCAACTAAAGGCCTGGCTGGGATAGGTCCTCCAGAGCACTGCTTCACGCACCGAGTGATACGTGGTAATGGCATTGGTTGCTCATGGTCTGTAGCATCACCTTTAGTTGCAAAGACACTTAGGCTTGGGAGCCTGCCTTCAAAGAGAATCCTGTCTGGTCTGGGAGACACACTGAGAATCGGATTGCACAGAACAAGAAGCCCCACAACTCCCTCTCCAGCTGGGTGCCTGTATCTCCCCAGAGGGCGGGGCCCATGGCTTACTCAGCTCTGTCCTGCAGTCAGGGCTGCCCCTGTTCGTTTATCCATTCACCAAATGTGCATTGAGCATCTGTTGTACTTCACACCAGACACTATTTTAAAGGGTGAAAGATTTATAAGATCTGAAGAGAAACCAGAGTACAAGACACTATTTTAAGTAGCAGGAATGCAGAGGAGGACAAGCCAGATAAGGTTCCTGCCTCAGGAAACTTCCATCTCAGGAGGACACAGACGATAAATAAGGAAACAGATCATTTCTGATAATAGTAAGTGCTATGAAGACAATGAAACAGAGTTATGAGGTAACAAGTTATGGGGACAGGGGGTGACTTTAATTTAGAAAGCCAAGGAAGGCCTCTCTGAGGATGAGTGGTCCAGGCAGAGGTAGTGGGACATGCAGAGTCCTGGATGCAGGAAGCAGATGAGTATATCTGAGAAACAGAAAAGACAATGTGGATAGAGAACAAAGGATGGGGGGAGAGTGGGATGAGATGAAGTGGAAGAGGTGGGCAGGACCAGATCACATAGGGTGCTATGGTGGGGCACGGCATTTGGGTTTTATTCCAGGGTCAGCGGGAAGTATTGGCTGGATTCAAGCACGATCTTGGCAACGTGAGTTTCCCAAAAGCAGGCATCGTGTCCTTGATATTCTGCTCCCTTGACTAGGAGCTGACATCAAATAAAAATAGTAGTTGCTCTTACCCAACATTTATACATCATGAGTTCCGTTATTATCCCACTTTATAGACAGGAAACTGGAGGCTCCAAGAGGTTGTGTAGCTTGCTGAAGAAACTAGCTAGTGTTGGAAGCAGGATGAGAACCCAGGTAATCTGGATTGCTCGGGGGGCCCAAAGGAAGAAGAACTAGAATTCATGAGCACCTGAGAAGTTTTGAGTGGCAGGAAGAACACGAATAGTTCAAGGAAGTCAGGGAGGGGTGAGGGAGAGACCAGCAGGTTGGCCCTGCTGGCAAGGGGAAAGAAGACTGAGACCCAGAAAGCCAGATGAGGGGTTCCTTCCTTTCTTCCTCTGAACAAAGATAGCAAAGGCAGGTCTCAAAGCTGAGGGCCTGGCTGCCTGAGGCTGCCTCCCAGGTCTTAGCCGTCCATCCAGCCTGAGCTTTCTCTAACTTAACCTGGACCCCATAGCTCTCCCTGAACAAGTTAGAATCATCTTAAACCTCTGTGAAAGAGAGGGCAAGGACGAGGTACAAGAGGAGGGAAAGGTTCTTCCTGCCCTCAGCAAAAAACCCTTTCACCTTTCACGAAAGCACAAGTTGCGGGGAGAGCCATGGTGAAGAGGAAAAGCCATGGAGGGAAGTCAGCACGGTGCAGGGCACTTTACACATACTCACTCTTCCCCGAAGTCCCTGTTACAGATGAGGAGCTGAGACTCAGATATGTTGTATAACTTGACCAAGATCACACAGCTTATAAACCAGGATTCACCTCCAAGTCTGACGGTCTCTGCTCGGGGGCAGTCTTCTTTTCCTGCAGATTTGCACTCTGCTGCCCACACCTACGTTTCCCCAAGTACTGGACCCCATTGTCCACCTCCCAAACAACAACTTTACCTGGTCCTGGAGCTTCCTTACTGCTTACCTTTTTTGGCCTCCATCTATTTCCAGTGTGCCAGTCAGAGCATTCCCCTTCACTGTCCCCTGGGCAGAGATCACAGAGCCACCGCCTTTCCAGTGTGTGCTCCACCCAGCCAGGCTTCCTAGGGCTAGGGTCTGCAGAAAGTTGGACCAGGCTGGAGCTGGGATGGGGGAACTCTCCCTGTAGATGTACCTGGAAATGTAAAAGTTCCTCTGCCATCCTGACAGAGTGTGAGTTTGTTCAGGATTCCCAGCCCCATGCCCAGGTCTGTACTCCCATATCTGAGCCAAGCCCAGAACCAATATTGTCCATCCTCATGTTCATCCCATAGGTATTACCCCTCCCTCTGCAAAGGGTTCTTTCTTTCTTTCTTTTTTAATTTCTTTAGAGATTTCTGGCTTTTTAAAATATTTTATTTATTTTTATTATTTTTAAAAATATTTTATTTATTTACTTATTTTTAGACAGAGGGGAAGGGAGAGAGGGAAAGAAACATCAGTGTGTGGTTGCCTCTCACGCACTCCCTACTGGGGACCTAGCCCATATCCCAGGCATGTGCCCTGACTGGGAATCGGACCGGCTAACTCTCCATCCACCGAGCCATACCAGCCAGGGTGTATGTGCGTATGTGCCCAGGCAATAGGGAAGGAAGAAGGGGTGGTATTCTCAGAATACCAGTCAAAGCAGGTATTCTCACCTCCTTCCCACACGGGGAAATGTCTGTGGGCCTATGGAATGTGGAGAGGGGCTTATCCATCTACCCAAAGCCTAAGGTTCACAAAGGACCTTAAATTAGATTTGCAATGTTAATTAGATATGTGATGCCAAATGAGGTTGTACGTAGTCTATTTTTTGTGTTTTGTGGATGTACAAGGGGATACCAACAAATGCAGTGACTGAAAATAACCTCTGTAGGGAGATCTGATCATAAATTCCTAACTGAGCAGGTCATAGTGGGTAGTCACGCCCCAGGCTTATAACTTCTTTGGTAAAGGTTTTTAAGCAAGCCCTGCCCATTGCTCTAGGTTAACACACCTTTGAAATGCCAGAAGTACTGGTAATCTTCTTTTCCAGACCTGGTGAAGGCGTAGGCACCCTCAAGGGAGCACATAATCTAGTTAACTATCCCATACCTTGCTTTCTCCCACCTTCGAGTAATCTTCCTTAACTTCTCTCATTAATTCCAAATGTATGAAAGAAACTGCAAAACTGTCACTCCCCTGAGCATTTGAGATCTTGCTTCCCCGCGTTGTCTTCAGCTCAAATAAACATCTAAAAATTCTCTACAGGTCTGGATGTTTCTTACATCAACAATTTGAAGTGTTAATTTTAAAAACATAAATATTGAAAAATAGACTACAACTTTTCAATCCTGTTTGGCATATCACTTTTTAAATGTGAGATACCTCAAAAACAGAAGACAGAAGGCTTCCCTCTAGCCTCTGCAAGGCCTTGATGTGTGTGGTGTCCCAAAAGGAAAAAAAGGGAGGAGGAATGGGGGAGGGTAGCTAGAAAGAGACAGTGCACACACATCAAAGAGTAGTAAGACGGCAGGAGAGGCGTGGAGACCCAAGCGCCCTGTCCTTTCAGCTGAAACTCCTGGAAGGCCAGATCTCAGCTCCTCTGAAACAGTTCTGCCCTTTTGTGCCCGTGGTCCCCTCTCTTGCTCTTCATGGCAGTAGAAGTGTGCCAGGGAGAGAGAGGGCCGCGGACAGGCTCAGACTGGCAGAGGAGCGTAAGAAGCAGCTCAACTCGCTGGGCTGACGCTCTGGGACCAGACACTCAGGCTTTACGTTCTGTCGCCAGGGCCAGGATGCCTGTCCAGACCCAGACCCTCACTTGTCCCTGGCAGGAAAGGCCGTTAACCCTGTCACCCCTGCAAAGGCAACGCCAAGGGAGAAGAGAGGCTCTACGGAGGACACCAGAAGGGCGGAAGGAGTGCGCTCCCTCCCACGGGAAAGACAGATGTAGGGCTAATGAAAGGGAGGCAGAGAGAGGCGCGGGACTGGCGGGGGAGATCGGGGGCGGGGCAGGGAGAGGCGAGCCCCCGGGAGTGAGCGGACTAGACCCCCCGGAGGGCCCCCCCCCTCCCCCCGCGACGTCTGGAGAAAGAAAACGCCGGGGAGAGGGGCCGGGAGGGGGCGTGCCGTTTGGCCCGAAGGTCCCGAGCTGAAACTCAACACCCGCCTTTGGGAGCGTCCTCCTTTCTCCTCCTCCCCTCCCCTTCCCTTCCCTTCCCCTCCCTTTTCCCCTCCCTCCTTCCTCTCAATCCCCAGGACCGAGCCCCGCGCCGCCGGAGCGGAGGGCCCGAGGGGAGGAGAAAGGAACTGCGCTGAGAGGGAGCCTGGAGCCCGGGAAGGGGAGGGAAGGGGAGCGGAGAGCCGGGGTGAGCCTATAGGCCACGCGCGATCCCCAGAGCCTTTCCAGCCCCCTTAGTGTCCACCCCGCCTCTAAGCCCCTGGCCCCTGCCCCTCCTTCGCCTTCTCTGCTCCTTTTGCTTTGTGGCCTTTTACTCCGCTCCCAGAGACACCTGGGAGCTTCTCCGAGCTCTCGGGGAGCCGAGAGGACCCGTCCAGGTTGCGCGTGAGCGGACGGCGAGGCGGCGCCGAGGGCAGGGAGCCGCGGGTGGGAGCTGGCGCAGGTGGCCCTGCACTCTGCTGCCGAGTGGCGGAGGAGGGCGAGTGGGCCCGGGTGAGCCCCTCTTTGGCTTTGGAAAGAAAGGGCCTCCGGTCCATTCGAGCCGTGCCGCGTGCCATCGAGGCTCCCCGAGACCCAGGGCGTGCTGAGAGCGAGTGTGCGTGAGTGCGAACCGCCTCGCCGCCGGGGGTGCGCGTGCCTGGGCCAAAAACAGCCACTCAGGCAACGCATCCTCCCGGCCACGCTCCTGCAGGCCTTTGCCGTCAGCCTGGCCTCCTTTCGCCAGGTTGGGCGAGTTTGAAGAGGGACTTAGGGCTCGGCTCTAGCTTTCCCGCTCTCCCCCGCAGCGTGGCCGCCGCACTGCCCCTGGAGCCCTGACGCACTGCCCCTGGAGCCCTGCTCTCAGACCTCGGGTGGGGTTGAGTTGGTTCCTAAACTTGCTCGTCCAGCCCAACCGCCCCGGCGGCTTCTCCCAGCCCTCGGGGCTGTCGTGAGTGGCCTGGACAGGCGTCGAGCGCCTCAGCTCCCTCCTCGCCTGCCTCGGCTGTGGAAGGGAGCCGGACCTTGCGGACCTGGGGTGCCTCCACGACGTAGGGCAGGCAGCTCCGGGGGCCTGGCCAACCCGGCGGCCCCCGGGAGGCCGCGGGGACAGTACAGAGAGCGCACCCTTGGATGAGGTCCCGCAGCGACGCCCCAGCCCGCCCCGCTGCTCCTCCTCCTGCCAGGCCAAGTTGCCTCCCATTTGGGGATTTTTGTGGGTTTTCTTTCTCCTCCTCCAACCTCTGCGGAGGCCACGACTCAGGCGCCAAAGCCGGGAGCCGCCTCCATGGTACTGGGCAGCCGCTGCTGAAGTCAGCGAAACGGAGCCTGTCCTGGAGCAGGCCGCGCGGGAGGCCAAGGCCATGGCCATAGCCACGTCGGTGAGTCCACCCAGGAGAAGAGGCTGCTGGGCAGAAACCTCCACAGCTGCCCTGCACTCCTGTCACTTTTATTTCTGCCTTTTCTTTGTCTCTCTCCTGGGACCCCTTTCCAGCTGGCTGTGTCCCGCTCCTCTCACTTTTGTTTTCCAATTTCTCTCCTCTTCCCTAGCTCCTTCTGGGCCTGGGCTCCCCCTTTTCCCTTCCCGGTCCCCTTTCTCCAATTTCTTCCTAAAGGCTGTCCTAGATAGAGGGGAGGGGGCAAGTGTAGCCCTGTCTGCTCATTTATTGGCGGGGACAGATGGCCACTGGCAGGGGCTTGTGATTGGGAGGCAAGTAAAAGGTTGGGAGGGGGCTGAAAGAATGGAGGTGGCTGCAGGAAAACAGGAGAGGTGGGAGGGCCCAAGAAGGCCCTTCTCTAGAGGAGGGATGAAGGAGAGGAAGATCAGGCAGGGAGAAAGAGAAAATTGGAGGGGGAGGTGATGTCAGCTAGCCTCTGGTCACTTTGGGGACAAAGGGAGGAGACCGCTTGCATGATGGGACAGTGGGAGGAGGAGTCCCAGAGAGCATGTGGCCCACTGCCATCCCCATTAAGGCAGCCCCTCCCTCACAAGTCAATCTGGTCCCTGAGGAGGCAGTAGAGCAGGGGTGACCACACCCATCATCAATCAGTCTATCAGCAACTCTGGCCTGGGTTCCTGCCATTGCAAGGCCCGGAAGTTTGGCCCCATTGGACAGAATTCAAACCTAACACTGGGAGGAGCTCTCCACAGCCCCACCTCTGCTTTCTGTCTTGCACTCCCTGTTTGAATTCCAAACAACTCGGCTCCCTTTCCACCCTTCCCTAGGCCCTAGGATTCCCAGTGAAAGCAAGGCTGCCACCTGTTTTCTTGCCCCCTCTGAATGGTTACTCTGAAAAGGAGGCTGGAAAGACAAGTATAGCCCCTGACATCCTCCCAAAGCCCGTAGGAAGAGTTTGATTTTCACTCCTCAGACCACACCACTCTTAGTTCCTCCATCTGCATGATGGTGAGAAACACCATCACAATGCTCAGAGTTGGGAGAGGGGAGGTCCTGAAAATAGGAGATGTCCTCTGACACAAAGATGCTGGCTCAGTGGCTGGCTGGTCAGCGATGTAGTCCCAGGAGGTAGATTTTTCTTTTTCCCCAGAAGTGGGGGTATTTATGCTAATCAAACTCACAGGATTCTAAAAACAGCTAGTATGTATTGAACATTTACTAGCCCTAAGCTGTGTCCTGGCTGCTCAACGCATTATCTCGTCCAATCTTCACAATGTATCTGTGAGGACAGTACTCACTATCCAAAAATGGATAGTCAGACATGGACTTCTACAGAGGAAACCGAGGCTCAGAAAGGATTGTTTTGTATTGTATTGTATTGTATTTATTTATTCATTCCAGAGAGGGAGAGAAACATTGATTGGTTGCCTCTTGCACACCCCCAGCCAGGGACCTGGCCCCCAACCCAGGCACGTGCCCTGACCAGGAATCCAACCGGCAGGTCGTTTGCTTTGCGAATGATGCCCGACCAGCTGAGCCACACCAGTCAGGGCGAAGCTAAAAAAAGTTTAACAGCCTGCCCAAAGTCACTTGTTTAGAAAAGGAGAGAGCCAGGACTCAAACTCAGTTCTGTCTGCCCCCAAACTGTACTCTTAAAGCCTTGGTTAGATCTAAAATACCGATTTATAATTTATAATTAGAAAGGTGCCATGTTAACCAGAATTTATGTCATCTGGTTTGCGTGTTTTCTCTCTGTGGGACAGTAACAGTTAGAAGGCAATATAACCATAAAACAGTTTGATGAGTTTGGAATTGGGCAAGAGAAGTCAGCTGAAATTGTTGAAATCACCCTGCCATGAGGGGATGGACAGCCTCTCCAGCTGAGGGAACCGCCAGCCAAGAGAAACATGCACGCGTGTCGGCTAAGCAGGGCATGCTTTTCCCCATGGCCTGGTGACCAGATACCGCCTGCCAGAGATCTTTAGTTTGAGACTTTTTACTGAATTGGCCCAAATGGATTACTTGCTCAGTAATGCCTTACTACCTGCTCTCCACCATCACTGTGTAAGCCACCACTGCCTGGCTTATAGTCACCTAGCAAACAACTGAAGCGGAATATACTTTAGTGCTATGAGTGGTTAGAGCTAGATTCTACCAAGGAATCAGAGCCCTGTGAAGGGTGACTAGCAAAGGGAAACTGTATATAATGAAGATTGCATATGTGTTTGAGTCATGTTTGAGTCACGGACTTTCTTGACTTAACCACTGTTACTAATGTTAGAAGAAAAGTCGGTCCTTAAGGTTTGTGATTGTGGAGAGGCAGTGGAAGAGTGTCCGAGAGTACGGGCTCTGGAATCAAAGAGCCTAAGGTTTAAATCATTTTCCCCAGCTGTCCCAGCTGTATGCCACAGGAAATAGTACTAACCTCTCCGTTCCGGTTCCTTTCCAAGTGGAGATAAGGATGGCTCTTCCCTCCTAAGGTTGCTGGGAAGATTAAATGAGAAGATGAGTGCAAAGACTTGCACAGTGTCTGGGTACATAATTTGCCCTTGGTATCTGTGACTTACTCCCTAAGCCTGTTGTTCTCCAAGGAAAAAGCTTAGATATCCTTACGAGACAGGACTGCAAACAGGCTGATGCACACACAAGTCTATACACTTTTCTCCATGGTAACCTCTGTCTCTTCTGAGAACCATGTTTGCTCAGACTGAGAACAAAACAATTTCTTGGGTTTCTGTTTTCTTATTATGCCGAGGTACTGCCTGGGCTGGGTCTCTCCCAGTCCCCCTCAGAGTGAGAGGTCTCTGCAGCTGTTTTGTCTAACCTTTTGCATGTGGGGGATGCTGACCCAGCAACAAGGAAGGTAAAGGAGATTCTGTGGGAGAACTTAGCAGGACTTCCTTGTATACACAAGGCTTTGGAAGAAATTCATTTAACGTATGTTTATTGAGGACTGATTCCAGGTTGGGCTTTGTTTCAGAGGCTAGGAACATAGCATAGCTGTCCTTGTTCTCAGAGAAAAAGGGCCAGTTGGGGGAAGAGCCCTCTGGGTAAAGGAGACAGCAAGTGCAAAGGTCCTGAGGTGGGAAAGAGCTTGTCTAGTTCAAGGAGTAGAAAGGAAGAGGGAGAATGCAGGGCATGAAGTGGGAGACAAGGCCCGATCAGGAAGAGCTGAGACAGGAGGTCAGTTTTTAGCTCGAGGGAAATGGGGAGCTCTAAAGTGTTTTGAGCAGGAGGTGCCATGACCAAATATGTGTGTGAAGACCCCTCTTCCCACTCCTGCCTCACCCACCAGGCCCTGCTGGCCCGGGCACTCTACGACAACGCTGCTGAGTCCCCCCAGGAGCTGTCCTTCCGCCGAGGGGACGTCCTACGGGTACTGCAGAGGGAGGGTGCTGGTGGGCTGGACGGCTGGTGCCTCTGCTCCCTGCATGGCCAGCAGGGCATTGTGCCTGCCAACAGAGTGAAGCTCCTTCCTGATGGCCCGGCACCCAAGCCCAGCCTCTCCCAGGTGCCTGGCTCACCATATCCAGCCCCAGAGCACAGCAATGACGACCAGGAGGTGAGAGCTGGAGCCCTCCCAACCCCCAGCCAGGAGAGCCCCTTCCCTTTCTGCTGGTGCCTGCAGTGAGGCTGGGCAGGGAGAGCCCTAAGACAGAAGCTCTTCAGGGCTCTGCTGTAGAAAACCTGTCTGCCAACCCTTTCTGGGTTCTACTTCCCCTTGGGACGGGGAGGGGGTTGGAAGGTGTCTGTTTGCCGGAGGTACACATTGTCTGATTCCCTGGTCCCCTCTCCTGACCCCCACATCTTGATCCCTTAGGTTTATGTGGTGCCACCCCCAGCCCGGCCCTGTCTGACCTCAGGATCTCCAGCTGGACCCTGCCTGCCCTCCTCTGACCCCATCTACAAGATCCCCAGAGGCAGTGGGACCCAACTGGCTGCCCCTGGAGATGCCTTGGAGGTGAGGGCTAGAGGTCTCGGCATATGTTGCACAGGGAACAGACAGCCCTGGATGGAACCCAGTGCTGAACCTGATGGTAACTAGCCACTCCCTCTCCAGGTCTACGACGTGCCCCCCTCTGCCCTCCGAGTTCCCTCCAGTGGCCCGTATGACTCCCCTGCCTCCTTTTCCCACCCTCTGGCCCGAGTCACTTCGAAACCCCCTGGAGAGGATGAAGCTCCCTATGATGTGCCTCTGGCCCCGAAGCCACCATCAGAACTGGAGCCAGATCTGGAGTGGGAGGAGGGCCGAGAGCCAGGGCCCCCTCTCTATGCTGCCCCCTCCAACCTGAAACGGGCATCAGCCCTGCTCAATCTGTACGAAGCACCAGAGGAACTGCTAACAAATGGGGAAGGTGGGGGCACTGACGAGGGCATCTACGATGTGCCTCTGCTGGGGCCAGAGACACCCTCTTCTCCAGAGCCCCTGAGAGCCTCAGCTTCCAGTGACACGGAAACCTTGGCACTGCTTCTGGCCAGAAGCCCTGCACCCTCTCACAGGCCCAGGTTGCCCTCTGCAGAAAGCCTGTCTCGCCGCCCTCTGCCTGCCCTGCCTGTCCTTGAGGCCCCCAGTCCTTCCGCAGCTCTCTCTCCTGCTCCAGGCAGAAAGGGCAGCATCCAGGACAGGCCTCTGCCTCCACCCCCACCTCGCCTGTCTGGCTATGGGGGCTATAAGGTTGAGGGGGATTCAGAGGGCCAGGAGGTGGAGGATGACTCCGCAGAACACCACAATGAGTATGAGGGCATCCGGATGGCTGAGGAGTACGACTACGTCCACCTGAAGGTGAGCTCACCTCCAGCCAGTCCCACCCAAAGTGGGGAACCTCCCTGGAGAACCACAGGGAGGAATAAGGAGGCCTGGGGCCCAGGTGCAGAGCCTCCCTTCCTCCCTTCCCTCCTTCCCCACCACTGGCCCTACACCCTCTGGCCTGGGACCCCAGTACCTGGCCATATCACTTGTACCAGTGCCACGTTCCTCCCCTTAAACCCAGGCTGGGGTCCCTGAGCCCTCTGACTTGCCACCAGGCTCTTCCAGATCTAGAGTCCAGGGACTGCAATCTCTAATGGCAGGAGGGACCTCCAGAAGGAATGGGAAGTGGAGAGGGCCAGGGAGACTAAGGAAGCCACCTGGCCCTGTTCCCCCACCCCTGCACTGAGACCCTGACCCCTTCCTACAGGGTATAGATAAAGCTCAAGGATCTAGGCCCCTGGATAAGACCTTCCCTGGGGATCCTGAATTGTTGGAGAAGGGCCCACCAGAGCAGCAGGTAATCCTGTGGGGATGATGCTACAGAAGGGGGACTGGGGAAGGAGGAGCAGGAACACAGAAGGAATATTCTTAGCTGAACTATCAAGGGAACTAGATTAGGACTGGGTAAAAGTTCGGTGAAACAGCAGTTGGAGTAAACAGGAGTTAAAATTCAATAGGAAAGAGCTGGAACTTAGAAAATGATATCAGCCTGGGCTAGTGTGGGTCAGTGGATTGAGTGCCAGCCTGTTAACCAAAGGGTCACCAGTTCAATTCCCAGTCAGGGCACATGCCTGGCTTACAAGCCAAGTCCCCAGTAGGGGCCGTGCAAGAGGCAACCACACATTGATGTTTTTCTCCCTCTCTCCCTCCCTTCTCTCTCTTGAAATAAATAAATCTTTATAAAAAATGAAAAGGATATCAGGAATTCAGAAAGAGGGGGAAGAATGTGTTGGAGAGGAATCAGAAAACCAAGCCATCAGGAGCAGAAAGTTTCTGGGTCAGAGCTGGGCCAGGTGACTTCTGAGGTTCCTTCCAACTAAATTCCTGGGCTCCCACAAGACCTCGCTCCTAATCCTAGCTCTACCATTAAGAAGCCAGGGACTCTGAAGTGGCCAGTAAGTCTCTCTGGGCCTCAGGAAAGTGAAATGGTCTCCTTGATTCTGTCTAAAATGGTCTTAATCACAATAGCTCCCATTTATCAGGTATTTACCAAGTGCCAGACCCTGTACTAAGCATCTCGCACGTCAACGCTAATATAGCCATAGTAAGTATTCATATAGGACATACAGTGTGCAATGCTCTGTTTTGAGCCTTTTCTGTATATTGTATCAATTCGTCTTCTTTGCAGCCTTAGGAGTCAGATACTCAGGCTGGTGCTATCGAATATGGTAGCCACTAGCCACATATGGCTACCAATTGCTTGAAATGTGGCTAGTCTAAATTCAAATGTGCTATGATATAAAATGTACACCAGATTTTGCAGACTAACATTTTTTATATTTGGAGTTTAAGAACATACCAGTTTCTTTTCCTAATGCGGTAGTTACTATAAAATTTAAAATCACATTTATTTTGGAAAGTGCAGCACTAGACTCCCCAGTTTAGAGATAAGGGGGGAAAAATTCAGAGACTTGTTGGAGGTTGTGTGAACCCAGATTTACCTGGCATCAGCTGAAAGCACTTTCCTCCTGCTCACTATGAGCACCTAATGTTCTGATGGCAGAGGCCAGAGCTAAAGGGATTGCACTAGAAAGGAAGGACTGAGGAACAAAGGGAGGGGAGGAGAAAGGATATGAGAGCAGAAGTGACACTCGGGAGAGCCCTCCCACTGACCACTCCTCTTGCCCTTAGGAGGTCCTGTCCGCTGGGGAGCCGCTGGTTCTGCCAGCCGGAGATCTACAGCTCCTACACTTCTACGCAGGCCAGTGCCAGAGCCACTACTCTGCGCTGCAGGCGGCTGTGGCAGCCCTGATGTCCAGCACCAGGGCCAATCAACCCCCACGCCTCTTCGTGCCCCATGGCAAGCGGTTGGTGGTGGCTGCTCACCGCCTGGTGTTTGTTGGGGACACCCTGGGCCGGCTGGCAGCCTCTGCCCCTCTCCGAGCACAGGTTGGGGCTGCAGGTACCGCGCTGGGCCAGGAATTGCGGGCTACTGTGCTCGCTGTCAAGGGGGCCGCCCTGGGCTACCCATCTGGTTCCGCAGCCCAAAAGATGGCGCAGTGTGTGACACAGCTGGCTGGAAAGGCCCTGCAGTTCACTGCCCTGCTCACTAGCCTGGCCCCCTGAGGCTCCCGTGGCCCTGCTCCGACCCTGCCCTGTCTGCCGGAGCCCCGCCCCAGTCTTTGAGCGGCTGGAGGGCTCTGTTCAGGCACTCGGAGGGGTGGCGATATACTTCCCAGTTCCTGCCCCTTCCAGTCATGTCAGTCTCTCACAGAGGCATCTCTTCCCCCACCCTACAGCTTTTTGTATGAGCCATTTTGTATAAATTATTTTTATTTAATATTATTCCCTGCTTTGTCAGGAGCAGGTGCTAGGCCCTCTGGGGCAAAGAGGAGCTGGACTTTTCCTCCTCTCAGCCTGGGGCAGAGGCACTCGGTCACTGTGCTGCCGCCCACCTCTGGGAGCTTGGCCCTGCAGAGGGCCAGGTGGATGAAAGCTGGGCCACGCTTTCTGGGCTGTAGAACATCAGTGCCTCTCTGTTCGGTGAGAGTGAGGGCAGGACGTGGATTGCCCGGAATGTGAACCTTGGGAGAAGGCAGAGGGCTCTTTCCCACAGGAAACTGGTGAGCGCTGGGCCTCAGGTGCTGGGCAGGCATCTCAATAAACAGTACTGTCTGGTTCCCTGACTGCTTCTTGGGAGGTGGGGGAGGGCAGGTCTGTGCCCCTGAGCCAACCCTAGGTGGCACACACTGTGGACAGGAAGCCTTTAGGGGTTTATGGGACACTAACAATATTCCGCAGGTTCTCAGCTCCTATGATGTGCCATGGTTCTGACGGTACATGGTGGGTATGGAATGGACATAAGCTAACCAGTTAAAATGAGTAAATTGAGCTCGACCTCAGATCGGATGCAGCAATCCACTGAATTTAAGCATATTAGTCAGTGGAGGAAAAGAAACTAACCAGGATTCCCTCAGTAACAGGAAAGAGCCCAAAGCCGACTCTCTGCCCTGCGGTGAGGCACAGAAAATGTGCACAAAAGGCCCACCTGCCAGTGCCCCTCGTGGGAGGCCCAAGTCCTGATCGAGCCTCCCCGCCAAAAATAAGTAAATTTAGAAAGAGAAATCCCCCACAGATTTGACAGTTGCTGGCAATGGAAATAAATGGGGGGGGGGGTTGTGAAGGGCTGGCAAGATGAGGGGAGAGGCCACTGAGGGAGACTTTAGACGGGTTGGTTGGGAGGTGGCATCTGAGCTGAGACCCCCAAGGACGAGAGAATCCAGAGGAGTGACAACTAGCATTCCAGAAAAACACTGATGGCTGATCAGGGGCTTCTCCAGACCTTGTCACATGGTGCTGTTAGAGAGCTGCACCCGTGGAGTGGCTGACCACACGAGCCTTTTAAAGGGCTGTGCTGACTTGGTCACCCTAACTATCAGCCTTGTGCCACTGGACAGCTCTGGTCAGCTGGAGAGTGCTGCTGACCAGCCTGGGTGCCCTCTCCCTTAGGTTAACCCAAGAGGGTCTAGCCCCTTGACCTCACCTCCCCAGGCCTTCTGCTGACCACCATTCTGGCCAAACCATCTTTTAGAGAAGCTGAGGGGCTGATGAATGCAGTATGTTGGAAGTCCATAGGGCTTGGGACTTTGGTGAAACAGGTGAGCCATAGAACAGATGAGGGGTCTCTCCAGCCATTTGCCACAAGTGAAGTCCAAGCCACAGCTTCACTGCTTCAGTCTTGCTTGCCTGGGATGATGCCCTGGCACAGCAACTGGATTGGAAGCACCCCAGACAAACCAGTCACATCCCAGTGTCTTGGCATCCCCTCTGCATTTGCCTCCTTCATTATGGGTTCCTCTCTCATTTCACTCTCAAAACTCATTTCCAGATTCTGGGGTCATCAAAATTTACACCTGTGGGTTGAAGACATAATAGAGGCCATCCTCCATCATGCAGACAGAATTTTAGGAGATCAGCCTAGAACGAGAAGTTTTGGTGCAAGTCCCAGAAACACCAGGTACCTATGTGTCTGCGGTAAATCCTGTCAGTCCATCTGAGTCTCGGTTTCAGCTTTGATAGGATGTTTATGATAATGGTCTCATGGGGTTTTTGTGGGGCCCTAAGAAGATAACACGTATGAACAGCCCAACACCACATAAGGGGTAATTCTAGGGCAGATACAAAAACACAGACAAATCCTCAAGGAATGTTGGTGGTGACAGCACCAAAACAAACCCTGAAAAGGTACTGATATGAGTTGGGGGAGGGAAAATGGCGGGAGGTGGCTAAGTGCACTAAAAGTTTCCCATACATGGAAAATCTGTGAACAGAGGAGATGAATTGGAAGTGCGGTTCAGTGGAAAGAAGAGGGAATGGATTTCCCAACAGACTAACAGGACACACCTTTGCAACCCTTGCCTGAGGTTAGAGAATAAAGTACCTATTAGGTATCAAATCTAGGCAAGTGCATCTCTAATGGGGATCTGGCTAAAAGGCTGTGATTCTGTATTTCTAATGAGCTCCCAGGTGATGTGGGTGCTGGTGGCCTGTAAAGCACACTGAGAAGGAATTCTAGGAATTAGGGAAGGCTTCTCTGAGGCAAATATGCTTGAGTGGACAGCTGAAGGGTGAGAACTTGACTCGGGAAGGAGAAGCCTTCTAGCATAAAGACGCTTGTGCAAGGGCCCTGTGACATTGATAAAAAACAAAAGAAGTCCAGTGTGACTGCAATAAATGTTTGAGAAGCGAGATGGAGCTGCAGAGAGCATGGGGCCAAGCATGCAGGGCCATGCATGAGCTGTCTAAAATATTATCTGTCTCAATGCTGAGGAGAAGCCACTGAAGGCTGTGAAGCAGGAAAGGGACATGAACAGATCTGTATTTTGAAGATCACTCCATCTGCACTATATATAGCAGGTGGGGAAAGTAGATTGAAACAAGTGGACACAGAGCAGCAGCTAGGAATTAGGAGGCTAACGCAGTCTGTGTGACAGGCTTAATTAATGGTTGTAAGAGATGGGGAGAAGGAGAATACCAGAGAATTATATAGGAAGTAAAATGGATAGAGCATTGTAAAGGACTTGATGTGGGGGTAAGGAAGAGGGCACCGTAACGGCTATCACCTAAATAACTGGCCACGATTGGATGTTGAGGGTGCCACATACTGAGGATGCACTTGAAGACAACCAGGTTACTGGGGGAAGAGCATGAGTTTGGTCTTGGGCATGCTGAGTTTGAGGACCGTACGAGTCATCCAAGGTAAGAGGTCGAATAAGTAGCTTCAAAGCTCTGGGGCTCAGAAAATAGGTGGAAGTTAAACTAACACTCAACAGTGACTGAATAAACAGATCTCTCCCTCAGATCCCTGAAACGCACCATCCTCTACTCTTTAGCTACATAGAAACTCCCTACTTTTGTTTTTTGAGGAAGATGAATTTGAAGGATCTTGCTCTCCTATTCTCTTGACTTGGCCAAATCAAATAAACCTCTGTCCCCAAGCACCCAGGTCTCAGTGTTTGGCTTCCTAGCGCATTAGGCACACACACTTGACTTTTGGGAGATGGTTCAGTAACAGGAGCTGGAAATGCAAATCTGGGGACCAGGTTTGTGTTGGTTTATATCGTTTATATTGAAGGTGAAGCCCTGGGGCATGGGTGAGATCCCCAGGCCCAGAGAGCAGTGTGAGATAAGAGAAGAGGAAGCCTTAGGACTAAGCCTCTGAGGATCAGACACTGGGTCATGATGAGGAAGAGGAGGGTAAGCCTGCAGTGGAGACAAAAGCAGCAAGAGAAAAAAGAAACAAAACAGGGGGGTATGAGACAGCAGCCAAAGAAGAAAGTATTTAGAGGGAGGGGTGGTCAACAGTGCCAAATACTGTTGAGAAATGGTGACTCGAGCAGAGTGAAACCCGGAGAAGTGTTCTTGTACAGGAGTGCAGCCAGGGCTGAGTAGCGTGCCCATCCCCGTGCTCCATGTACTGTCACTGCCAGTACATGCATCTGTCCCCCAGTAAGCTACTAAGCTACTCCAAGTTGTCTTGTCCATTGTTATCCCCCAAGCCTAGCACAAGGCCAACCACAGAGTAGAAGCTTCATAAATTTTACCGATGAAAGAATGAGTGGATGGATGGACGGGCGGGTGGATGATGAGGAAGAATTGGAAGCAAAGAAGGAATCTCTGGCATCTGCCTGGCTTAGCTACTATCCTTCAGCTTTTTTTCCTTTGTACCGCAATGGCCCGCAGACCCAGGGAACAACAGAGACAGAGCCCCATCCCCTCCCTCTTCTGAGCCCTGGTCCCCCTCTTCCTCTCTCTGATGAAGAGTCTGGACCCATGGTTCTGCTGACGTGAGAAGGGGAGGAGAGTCTGGAGGAAGGGGAGGGGAAATCGGCGCAAGATCGCAGAGGCGAAGGAGGCGTCCGCGCTCCAGAGCTGCAGAACGGGGTCTCTCCCGCGCCTGTGTCCAGGCATCCAGTGCACCACTAGGCCAGAGGAAGACAGCGCATCCTTTCCGTGAGGCCCGGCAGGGCCCCTACGGTCGGCAAGCTGGCTCCCCGGGTGGCCACCGGGACACCCGAGCCCAATGGCGGGGGCGGCAGCAAAATCGACAGCACTGTGGAGATCACCCCCAGCCCCAACGGAGTAAGTGTCCGCGCCCTGAGGACTACGCCATCACCTCCCTGCACCCGCGACGAGCGCCTGGCGTTTTCCTCCGCTCATCCCCAACCCCTAACTGCCTTGCTCGCGCTCTCGCGCGCTTGCCCACCTTCCTCCTATGCTTTGCGCTTTTCTACGATTCATTCTTCCTCTGCCTCTCCCCGCCCCTCCCCCACCAGCAGGTCGGGACCCTCGGAGATGTGGTGCCCACAGAGCAGCTGCAGGGTGAGCGGGAGCGCGAGCGAGATGGGGAGGGCGACGCGGGCGGCGACAGGCTGGGCAGCAGCCTGTCGCTGGCCGTGCCCCCGGGCCCTCTCAGCTTCGAGGCGCTGCTTGCCCAGGTAGGGGCGCTGGGCGGGGGGCAGCAGCTACAGCTCGGCCTCTGCTGCCTGCCCGTGCTCTTCGTGGCTCTGGGCCTGGCCTCGGACCCCATCTTCACACTGGCGCCCCCACTGCATTGCCACTACGGAGACTTTGCCCCCAACACCTCTGGCTGGGAGCAGCCCCCCAACGCCAGTGGTGTTGGCGTCGCCGGTGCAGCGCTTGCCGCCAGCGCCGCCAGCCGCGTCGCCACCAGTACTGACCCCTTGTGCAGCGGCTTTGCCCCTCCGGACTTCAACCACTGTCTCAAGGAATGGGACTATACCGGTCTGCCGGTGCTCACCACCAACGCCATTGGCCAGGTGAGACGCCTCGATAGGCCATGGGTCTGGGGGCAGGTGGGCTGAGGGCCACCAGTGCAGAGCCTCACACCCGCTCCATCCCTCTCACATTCCCAGTGGGATCTGGTGTGTGACCTGGGCTGGCAGGTGATCCTGGAGCAGATCCTCTTCATCTTGGGCTTTGCCTCTGGCTACTTGTTCCTGGGCTACCCTGCGGACAGGTGAGGGCTAACAGGGACAGGGCAAGCAGAGATAAGGGGGTGCTAGGGAGGCTAGGCCAGGCAGCTGGTGTTGGCAAGAGGCTGGAGAGGAGGCATTGGACTCAGCAGCCTTCTCTGGATTTCTTGTGTTCAATGATATG